GAATTTGTTTGTTTCAACTTCCACAATTAATTTTTCTTCAAAACCTATATTTAACCTAGGATATGCCTTGTGCTTAGTAACAGATTTTATGAAGTTTGTTTTTTTCAAAATTTAGTGCCAGTTTGTTAGCTCTAAACCATTTGTTTATGTTGGCAAAGACATCATTCATGATATTTTCAAGATAGATCAATTCTTGGTGTGCAATAATGATACTTGTATCATCAGCAAAAAGAATGGGTTTGGATATAGAGTTCACAGTTGCCGGCAAGTCATTTATATATATGAGGAAAAGTAAGGGCCCAAGAACTGAACCTTGTGGCACTCCGTGATTTACGATACCCCATTCTGAATAGGTATTATGATTGGTATGAGGGCTTTCAATTTCTACTTTCTGCCTTCTATTATTTAGGTAGGATTTAAACCATTGTCCTGCTATACCTCGAATCCCATAAAATTTCAGTTTCATTAGTAATATTTCATGGTTTACACAATCAAATGCCTTGGCTAGGTCACAAGATATTCCACCCACATGCATTGTTCAATTGTTTTGTGCATGGAAGAGTTCATGTGTGGTGGTTATGGTTTTAAGTGGAACACTCCATTAAGTTATATTATTAAATGATGTAGAATAGAGAAGTTTATCATAAATGAAATGTAAACATTTTCTTTGTTTGAAAAATGTTTCTGTGTACTTAGAGATTCAATAAACTTCACTAGAATAAGGTTAGACTAAATTATCTTAGAACTGGAGAGAGTAATTGGATTCATAAATGTATCATAACAATTCAGAGATGTAGTTCAGATTAAGTGTATATTATTTATAAAAGTAATTTCTTATTGTTACAGAATTTTATAAACTGTTTCTTCAGAATGATACATCTGTTAAGTCTCAGGCGGTTTGCAAGGTTTAGTTGTAACAGAACAGCTGAAGAAGGTGACTGAGGGTGAGTTGTGCTCAGGAGTATTTCTGTTCATCTCAGTAATAAAAGTCTTTTAAAATGACTTTTTTTGTGTATCCTCTTCTTCCTAAGATGTTATCCACCTTCTGTGAATCTCTGATTTGTGTGTGTGTGTCTATATGTATATATAAATAAAATTTTACAGTCAGTTGTTTTTGTTATGCTTTTAGGAATCAGATTCCTGGACAAGGAATTGCAGAGACAGGTTATGGCTAATCATGAAGATCTTCTTTAACAAGCAACATGTATTGAAAAACTGGGTGGGGTGCTTATGTAGAGACATATCAAGGTAATAAATTAATTTAGAAAATTTGTTGCTTTGTTTGGCCCTATGTTCTCCATTACATAAGCCTTTTTAGAGAACTGTCAGTTCATCTTGGGCAATGTCAGAAGAGCAGAAGAGTAGATGTGGAATTGGCAGTTGGTGCTTGTGGTTGTAGGGAGGAAAGTGAGTGTACACATGTGGTGTTTATTTGTTCTTTACCGAAAAACATTGCTTAGTAAGCAATATTCACCATTTATTAGTAAATTAAAGTCATGGGAAATAAATTAGTTACAGAAGGCAGTGTAATACAGCCTGCATAAGTTACAGCAGATGTGTTTACTTTTTCAGGTAGGTTACTTCTAAGTCTGCTAGTAACACAGAATCCTGCTTCACATCTGTCAAAGTTCTCATGTCTTCTTGTGCCTTGCAGATAATACATAGTATATTGTATTAACTTTTTGCAGCCTTTGAACCTTTGTATGAAAATTATCATACAATAAGATTCACGTGTGTCTGTGTGTGTAGTAAACTGTAACGCATGTTGTATGTAGAATGTATTTTAAGTTGCAAGGGTGCATGTTATTTTCCACTTTCCTGTAAAAATTAGCCCAAAATAACAGTTGTTTTTGGTGGTTGTGGTGGTTGATTATATTGCGAACATGACTGTTTATTTTTGATTAATAATGATTTAATGATCGAAGAGTCTGTTTCTTTAGTGGCAGAGGTAGTTTTGTTTTGTATCAGATATTACATTTGATGATCTGAGTACAGGTATACCTTGGAGATATTGTGGGTTCAGTTCCAGACCAATGCAATAAAGCGAGTCACTCAAATTTTTTGGTTTCCCAGTGCATATGAAAGTTATGTTTACACTATAATGTAGTCTATTAAGTATGCAATAGCTTTATGTCTAAAAAATGTGAGAATTACCAAAATGTGACACAGAGACACGAAGTGAGCACATGCTGTTGGAAAAATGGCGCCAATAGACTTGCTTGACGCAGGGATGCCACAAACCTTCAATTTGTAAAAAAACGCAATATCTGCGAAGTGCAATAAAACGAGGTATGCCTGTACTGCTATTCTACAGGATGGGTGGGAAGTAAGTAGTCATTGATAAATGGTTATAACCTCTATATTTCCAATGCAAAGCAATTATTTAATGCTTACTTACTTCCCACCCACTCTTTATATTGTATTCTGTCATTCTTTGAGTTATTGTGCAGATTGTTGGCATTCTCAAATTGTCATCATTTTAACATGGTAATTTTATTCTGGTTTGGGGAATTATTATTGTATGGTTTACTCCACCATTTTCTTGCACCTCTTGCTGTAGGAATATGTACATTATATAAATGGGTATTTATTTTTCTTTGTGTATAATAATTACTGTATTTGGCTGCTATATTTAATACTGTACATGTATAAGTTTAGTTAATCCATTTGTGTAATATTTTTCATTATTATTGTATGTATTATCAGTGTTTACCTGTTATTGGCTTCTTGCTGTTGGCAAACACTTAAATAAATGAATTGAATTGAATTATTGAAAAATTGCCTTTCCTTATGTGTAAGTGTGTTTGAATAATATTTAATATCTGGAAACTATTCAGTATTTTTGAATGTTATATATGGAAGTCGCTGAAAACATTGTTTTCTGTAGATCCAAGTGTGTGTAAAGTTTAATTCAAATATCTATGATCAAAACGTGTTTTTCATTGACAATTTTCAAACCTCAACTGGCCTATGTAGTATCTGTACTGTTGGAACTATAGCATATGTATGATCTGAATATATTGATAAAATTATGAGAATTTGATGCAATTGTCGGAAGATGAACGTCCCGAAAGGGCATCAGTGGGAATTGCGTGTCGCAATATAAGCTGGCATTTTGAAGTCAGAAATTGGCAGAACCTAACTGTCTAGCAAAGGCTTGTCTAATATTAGCAATAATAATATACTCTGGAAAGTATATGAACAGTTTTCAGGAATTCAGAGTTTCTCTTTTCAGACTGATGATAATTTCTTTCAGATTCAAGACTGGAATGGCAGAAAGTTGGTTCAAGCCTCATTCCAAATGGAGAAAAGAGTACAGTATATTTGCTGGTGGCAGTTTGCCAACGCATTTCGCCTTCCCCCCCCTATAAAAATGTCATTCTCTTACATACTCTTCTTTCTCTTTGTCTGTTATGATCTCCTTACCTCTGTCTGCGTAAAAATAAAACTTTTTCATACTGCTCCACTGCGCATAGAGTGCATAAAAAATGAGTGTCTCAAAATTTGTTACGTATGTTATCAAGGAGGAAGGAGTGTGGTTAAGCTTTAGGGTGTACCAAATTAAGTTTTTTTTCTGGTTTTCTTTCATGAAAGTCTTTCGCTGCTGTAGGTTTCCAGTTATATAACCGACAGTCATGGTCGAGTGAACACCTCTGCTTCGTATTTTGGAGGTCCCGGGTTCAAATCTTGGCCCGAAGATCGGCTACTCCGACTGGGTTTTTCCTATGGTTTACCTCAGTCTCTCCATGCAGATGCATGTATAGAACCTTAAATTAGGTCACGATCGCTTCCTTCTACAGAGTGGATGGGAAGTAAGTAGGCATTAAGAAATGGTTATAACCTCTATATTGCCAATGCATAGCGATTATTTAATGCCTACATACTTTCCACCCATCCTGTACATCTTTCCTATTCCACATCCTCTCATTCCATGCTATATAGTCTGAGTTACTGAAAACGCATATTAAGTAAACTGTAAATAACAAAAATAAAAAGTTATATACGTGCACTCCAACTCTGTAGTAAATATTCGTGGCGTTGTGCGTGTAGTTAAATGTAGCCTGCACCTTGTAGAAAAACGTTTCAAATAGAAGTTGTAGATCTGAATGAGATTCTTGTTTGTACCCATTTTGGTAAGATGGTCTGTTTCTGCTAAGTTTGATAAAGATGAGTTTTAAGTCGTTTGAGGTGGGTTTAGTTTAATACTGGACCGATTTGATCCAAACTGACGGAGATGACGGGTGGACAGACGTGCCTTGCTATTGTACGCTTCCACTTTGTATTACGTGCGAGGAACATATGAATAACCATTTAGAGAATTTACAAGATATAATGCAGAAAAAAGACGTATAGCTTATATTCGATTTTTATAAGCATCTTACATTTTACCTAGCATGTTGACACTACTGTAACACACCTGAAATACTTTTTGAAAAGCGCCTGATTGGAATTTTTCGTAATTTTCCTCAGATGCATTAGGAAAATCTAAGTAGACTATATTCTCCCTCCGATATCAGTCATTCTACGATACGGTATTCGATGCCATCGAACCGGAAAAGGTAATATAGCGCCGGAGAAAAACTGACTAAGTAGCTTACGAAAAATGTATCGATTTAGAGGAGAAGGTTTGTTACTGTACGGAATGTAATTGTATTACTGTACTGCTTGTGTTCAACGTTTTGAAGTTTTCCAATAATATGAATTAAATAAAGGCTGAGGACCGTACTGTACACTTAGCCATTCAGAACGCGAAAGTGCGACACGAAGTGATCTACGACAGATGTGTAAGCAGGTGATCCCGAAATGGGACTTCCCAGTGAGTTTACGGCGATACATGACTGCATATTGATCTCTTCCGCCTCTCTTAAGCCCTTTGCTTATGCTCCCTGAGAAGCAAAAGCGCTGTTAGAAAATTCGGGTTTACCTGAGACTCATTTATTGGAAAATATTGGGATTTGCTCTACAATATCCCAAAAGAAGTCAGCGCTCTTCTTAAGGTTGTTTAATATATTGACGTCAGTTCGGGTTTGTATTTCAAAGAAGTGTACAAGTACGATTCACTTTTAGCGCAGGTTATATTTTGGCCATCATCTTTGCCATAACAATTAAGTAATTCACGTGTTATTCTTATAGCAGACGTAGTTTCGATAGGGCAGATTTATTTAATGTCGTACGAATCGTCATGCTCTTCACCCTTTCTCGGGAATGATTCGTTGCTTTGGCTTTCCAAAATTAAAATGTTACTGCTCTTGTACTTCCGATGACGTGCAGGAAGTGTTGGTAACATTCTTGTAATTTGGAGCAAACGAGTACGAATAGTAAATTCGCAATTTTTTTGAAAATTGTTTCTTAGTGCAGCTTTAAAATATAGTGGTATTGTTGTTAGGTCATTTCTGTCTGGTGATGAAGACCAGATTTATCTAACGGGCCCTATACAATATACACTGAAGATACCTTCTTCCCTTTCATTGTGAAGACAGAGACAGTCTCCGAAACACTGGAACATTTATTCCAGCATGTACGTCAGTGTGTGTACTACTTGCAGGCAGCTTATTGTCAGAACTGGGGGTTTATAGATAATCTGATGAGGGTGGATATTTTGGTCAGGCTACACCCCAACAGCTTTAACAGAAACAGGTTACTTGGCTAGATCACGTAAACCAGTTCAAATTCATTCCTTAATAAAAAAACACCTGTAGTGAATGCAATTTTTAGACAGGCTGTACTCCTTTCCTCAGCTGATTTATTGAAATTTGTAAACTGATTTTGCTGTGGAGGCCATTAAGAAAAATAGGAGTTTTAAATTGTTGCTTAATTTTTCATTATTTCTTGTTTTTTCTGTTAAATTGCATTCACATAATTATAATCAGGTAAGAGGTCGAGACTTATTCAGCGCTAAGATCGCTGGGTCAGCGAGTAGTGAGTGACGTGATGTCGCTCTGTTTCGTGTCGGACGCGATGATGTACACGTGTGTTTGGACAGTGTCGCCATAGTTAGCTACGAACTAGACCTGCAAGGTGAAGCATCAACTCCAGTGCAATCATGTGACAAGCTGCAACGCTTTCAGGTAAGCGAATTTATTCCCTGATTTTGGAAGTTGGTAAAATACGGTTTCGGACAAGAATTCAATTTATTTCCTTTTGGCCATCGTGAGTGAAACAATTTTGAGACTCAAACTGATTACGTTTTGAGCAATGACATTCAAATGGCATTTCATTTGTTTTAGTGTAGAGAAATAACATTGCAAACTTTTTATTACTGTTAAGAAGACTTGGCTCTGACTTTCCGTAGCTGACCAACTCATAGGTTGTCATTTAGTGGTTCGTGATTATAGGGTGGACGGACAAAAACAGGCAGATTTCCCATGTAGGCGAGATACTTGATAAACTGCCTTTTCTAAGATAATGTCTGGGACAAGCCAAAATTTGGCGCGTAGGTCTAAGAGTGGGGCAAGAATTTTGTCACCCCAGATCTGGTTTTACGGTGAGTGGAGTTGGCTGATGCGTCGATGGCTAGAGGGAGGGGGCATGAGAATAATCACGAGGCCCGGCGTTCCTAGGGAGGCTCTCATGGCTGCCCTCGGTCGTAGCAGTAGCCAGCGGCTGCAATCATTACACATCGTTCAAGTTATAAAGGTGATATAATCAATTTTTTGGACTACAATTACAAATCATTTGTCGTTTCTTACTTTCAAAATTTCTATTCAAATACTCCATTAATTACACATATAAAACAGGCATCTTACAAGAAGTACAATTAATTATTCTCGACTTTTAACCTCTTCGAAGTGAAAGAACTGTTCAGCAGTTCTCTTAAATATTTAATTCCGCTGTAGGCGTATTGAAATCTGCTTGTGTTTTCACCTTACAAATAATTAACTGATTTAGGTGTGCTTATTTCTTAATTGATTAACGGGTTTCGTAGCGAATTAAGGACTGGTTATTTCTGACTTTGAATTAAATACAAGGTAACATTCTCTCCACGCCATGATGAGTAGAATAATCATACCGTTATGAATAAGTCTTAAAGTAATGAAGTAATGTAAAAACAAATGAACAACGCGGCATTGGACTGGAATGCTAAAGTATTTCATAATATATTTGTGACATAAGAAAATGGTAGTTTATTTTTTTATTGCAATTAGCCTGTTTATGCTTTTAAATTTTATGCTGATAAAAGAACGGTCGTTGAAGCAGTAATGTTTAGTCTGGGAATTATTATAAATATCCTTAAATATTTGGTACGAAGCTTTCATCTGTTATTAAAAAGATATGTTTAGATACGACTAGAAATTGTGATTGTATTCAAGAGATTTCAGGGAGGAACTACTGCTATCATATTCATTAATTTTGTTATTCCTACAAGATTCCGTCAATACAAATTGAGACAGTTAAGGGAAGGTCGTTATCCTTAGCTGTTCATAAATGCCCATTAAATTATTTTCTTTAAACATGGAACGTTAATTCTCAGAACAGATGAAATTTGCCTAAACTTTTAATTTATTTAGTAGAAAATAAATTCACGGTTTAAACTCGCACTATTTCGTATTACAATGTAACTTTTCAATTACATCAAAGTAAGTTATTTAACAGAATAAGCACGTCACAAATAAAACTGCATGTGACTGAACTAGAAAAGCTGAAAGCGAATATTTATTATCATATTGCTAGAATTCATACAGTCCTCGTAATTTAAATTTTTCTTCAGTAGCTCCAAGGCAGATGCATAAATGTCCAGCGTCCAACAGTGACCGACTTAGAAACGCTGGGCACATTTTAGAAGCAAGAATTCCATTCTGAAGCTGTCGTGTCTCCATTTAAGCTGACGATGTTTGCTGTTGACGTCCTAGGTTCTCATTTCCATGTGGCTAGAAGGGCTGACTCATTGTCTACAGCCAAGATTCCACGATCTCTCTCCCTTCAGTCTCAGAGATGAAACTGCTTTCTACTATAACACACATACATACGACAGTGTCACTTTTACGATGCAGTAATTCCGCGCTGTGTTCTGGTGTTGTCTTTTTTAACTCAGTTTCCCTGAGCGGCCGTTAGTCGCCCTGCTATGTTTCTAAGTCACGCAGTTTTATGTTACTTTGTGGGAATACGAGGCGTTATAATAATTTTTTACGAACGGACTTGGTTTATATAAACTTGAGAATATCCTATTTTCGGAAAACAGTAGCCTTATGCATTATGTATGACGATAAATATCAAAATTTATCACGTAGACCTATCAGTTCTAATTCTTCATATAAACGTGCTGATGATAGTATTTGGGCCTAACAGGCACGAAGTGAGCAATTTAGGAAACTGCATATAAGGAACTCGGTGATTTGTGCATTTTACCTTATATTCTTAGTCCGATTTGAGGTTCTCCCGGAGAAGTTGGTCTGCGTAATGTTCTCAGGATGGTAAAATGCGCTGGGTAGATATGTGGCTCAGGCAGTGGGCACAAAGAATGTTTAGACCTGTCTCATTTTGGCAGAGAAACCCCTTGGAAAGTGTTCAGTTGGAAGATCTAGAACGAGATAATTTAACGTCAAAAAAGATGTAAGGAAAAAGTTCTGAGAATCGGAGTGGTATGGAATTACCTGATAATTTTGCCCAGTGACAGACGTTGGTATTAACAGTACTTTAACTATGGGTTCTGCCACCCGCATTATTAGTAAAATGAAGTTTATGTAGGATGAAGTATAAAACAGTTGGTGTGTTTTAGTGTTTTGCTGTAATTATGATTGTTTGGCTGTTGCCGAGTACAAAAAGAAATGAAATTGCGTTATTTTTATTAGGCTCTGTAGATATTTTTCCCTGCGCAGATTATGGATTATATCAACTTTCTACCCACCATAATAATTGGAAACTTTAGATAAGTCAGTTAGTCCATTCTTGGAATAAGTTGGTAATAACCTCCGCTTGTGAAATTAAGGAATTTACGTGGTAACGTATTTGAAGGACATAGTAATTGATATTGATGATTGACGCACCATGTAATGAAACGATATTGAATAAGAATGTGAATATATATATATATATATATATATATATATGGCTATGAAGATAGTTGTGAATGAAGACTTAAGTGCAACGTTCATTGACTGTCGGTACGATACAGCAGCCAAAGGGCAAACAAAGACGTTTGTTTGAAACGCTTTAAACTTGATTGAGATAAATCCTGTCATTATTTTTTGTGAGATTACGTATTTAACCACAATAAGATGAAAAGGACAAATAAATGATCTCGTTGCACTATAAGCAGACCTATTAGTCATAAATATACATGGAAGCCAATTAAGCAGGTCCACGTAAAGCCGAATAGAACGTACACCTTTCCATTCTCATCATTAACTTCTGAGATTAAAGCGACATTATCGCTATTTAAAGTTGTGTCGATCTGCAAAAAAATAGCAGATTTTTGGAAATATATTTTTTACGCAATGTCGCAGGATGAAGCTTCCCATGTCACGTTAAATCTGGTTTGGAGATCGTAGTTACATAGTTTGTAGGGAACATTTCAGGGCATGTTAAATTTTATAAACATATTTACGATACGAAACTCCGGGGTTATAACTGACACTTTTGTTTTGGTCAGAGTTTTGAAGAGTGCACAGAACTGGGTCAGTTAACTTAATATAAAAGCCCCGCTATAGGTTGAGGGCTTGAAGGAAAGCAGATATAATAAGTTCTTCCCAGAAGTAGCTATTTTTTTTTACAAACTTCTAAATTATTTCTCTTGTGCCAACATACAGTCTCGTTAGAAGACGGATTACGAGTAGAATGCGAAGAGAAAAAGCTCTTTTGCCTTTATTATATTTATTAATTTCTCAGTCCTTAATGAACACCAACATCAAACGTTAAGTTGTTCATCTCTTTCGATCGCAAGGATTTCAAATGTTCAATCCTTCTTTCTTCGGACTTCAGTGGCATGTTCTATCCTAGGGCTTACGTCGGTAGAACAGTCTCTTTATTCGGTTTCAGCCATTGTTTCCATATATTCTAGCAATTTTTAACATTTATTTTTATTTATTTTCTCTATTGTGTTGTTTCTCTGAAACGTCGGTAAACATCGACCAGACTACACAGCGCAACAACCCAGAAGACAGAAATCTTCATACTCATCGCCCTGATGATGGAGGCAGTATGACCTCTGAAACGTTGGTAAACATCGACCAGACTACACAGCGCAACAACCTAGAAGACAGAAATCTTCATACTCTGATGACGGAGGCAGTATGACCTCTGAAACGTTGGTAAACATCGACCAGACTACACAGCGCAACAACCTAGAAGACAGAAATCTTCATCGCCCTGATGATGGAGGCAGTATGACCTCTGAAACGTTGGTGGACATCTATCAGACTGCACGGCGCAACAACCCAGAAGAAAGAAATCTTCATACTCATCGCCCTGATGATGGAGGCAGTATGACCTCTGAAACGTTGGTAAACATCGACCAGACTACACAGCACATTAACCCAGAAGACATAAATTTTCACCGCCCTGATGACGGAGGCAGTATGACCTCTGAAACGTTGGTTAACATCGACCAGACTACACAGCGCAACAACCCAGAAGACAGAAATCTTCATACTCCATCGCCCTGATGATGGAGGCAGTATGACCTCTGAAACGTTGGTAAACATCTACCAGACTACACAGCGCTACAACCCAGAAGACAGAAATCTTCATACTCATCGCCCTGATGACGGAGGCAGTATGACCTCTGAAACGTTGGTTAACGTCGACCAGACTACACAGCGCTACAACCCAGAAGACAGAAATCTTCATACTTACCGCTGTGAAAACCTCAAATCTTACTTGTCTAATATTATTTTGAATTATAATTACGGTTTAAACATCTTGACCCAAAAGACAACAACAGAAAGTCGTTATCATTGCTATCATTGTCAACCTATTGGCTCATACAAAAAGCAATGGCGGTCTTTTAAAGCAGCTGCTCGGTACAACAGACTTTAAGTATGTCTTCATTATTCTACATGACTGGATAAAGGAGGATTTATTGGGGTATTAAAATTGAACTCTTGTGTAATAATGGGCGCTGGTTAGCGAG